CAACGATCACGACAAAATTCGACAGCCGAGAGGACTCGGGTCGAAAACCCTAGACAATGCGTGCTTCTTCATGTTTGTCGACGATGTCACTCTAAACCGACTTCACTATCACAAAATGATCTCGAAGACATCAAAAGAATTAAAAATCGGCGCGTGGAGAATTGTTAATGTCTCGGCCGATAAATTGTACGAAAATCCCGCCATGAATGGGATCGTACCTAAATACCTAATCCACCGGATCTTTCCGAATTCGAAGTATAGCGTGTGGGTCGATGCGAAGATGCAATTGGTGATCGACCCCTTTTTGTTGATTCATTCGCTTGTTGTGAAGGAGGATGCGGACATGGCTATCTCGAGACATCCTTATTTTTTTCACACGATGGAGGAGGCAATGGCGACCGCCCGATGGAAGAAATGGTGGGATGTGGACGAGTTAAAGGTACAAATGGAGACTTATTGCGAAAACGGGTTGAATCCATGGAGCTCGAACAAGCCTTACCCAACAGGTAGAAGCAAGAATACGTAATACAAAAGTATCCACGATGTTCTGTTCAGAAGTGAACTCGAGTTATCTTTTGAAATTACAAACATATCCTCCTAACATGCAATGTTATATGATACGGGTTAGAAAAAAATCGTTATAGTTTTGACTCAATAACATGGATTTTATACTAATGTGATTAAAAATTTATTATAGTGGTTACAACTTACATAAGATAGATAATTAAGTTTTATTCGTTTTCCTTCCGTCTTTCGATTCAAAATTAGAAGTCATATTGTTAGGCAAGCCAAACGGCTCGACAATCATACTTTTTCAACAGATATTTATTACTTTTTTGATTATTTTGCAGATGTACCAGATAGTGCACTTATACTAAGGAAACACAGTGTAGCAACAAATATATTTTCATGCCTATTGTTCAATGAACTTGAAGCATTCAACCCAAGAGATCAACTTCCATTTGCATTCGTGAGAGACAAAATGAGCCCAAACCTTAAACTCAACATGTTTGAGGTTGAAGTTTTTGAACAGTTGGCATTAGAATACAGGCACAACATTAAAATGGGCCGGGCCGGAGCAGGGCCCAAAACCAAGATGGCCGGCCCAGATTTATTTGCCAACAGAAGTTGTGGAAAATGTGAAGACTACCTTTTGCATATGTGGGGTGAATCCCATGATTGATGAACTTTTTTGGTGTTTTTTTTTTAGTATAAATACATTCTTATGTTTAGTGATTGGATAATCGAATTTTTCTTCATATAAATGATTGTAGTTTCTTTCATGTATTCAATCGATTTTTGTAATGTTCTTTTAAGAAACGGGGGAAAACGGGTATGATGAAGCGCACCATAAACAGGAAAAGACTAGATGAAGCTCAAGTGAGGTTTCTTCCCAAAACCAAGCTTGGGCACCCAGCTCTGTATATGGGCTTGGGCTTCTTAAGAAGGACTCACAAGTGAGAGGTCATATTAGAATATTCACTTATGAGTTATCTCATCTCATTTGTATAAGAAAAACTTGACTTCAAACCTATTTTCAAATGGTTAGACATTTATATTACTTATACATATGTCTACATTTTTGTATTGAAATGTCATACTTTGTAATATAATATATACAAAATTATGACACTTCATACGATAAGCATGTATTTGTTATAATAAAAGTATGATTATCTAACGACAGCCTAACAAAATCATTTGTGTTATCTAAAACGCTAAATGCTAATTATATAGTATTTATTTAGGGTTTGTTTGATAAATCTAACTGAAAAAATAGTTACTTTGAGAAATATACGAGATAAGCTCCAAACTTGTCGAATCAAATTAAACTTATTTCAATATAAGAAGATTGTAATTCCAGTTAAATTACGATCGAATAGATGAAACGTAATAATTCTGATAGTATTTCCTGAAACAAAACTCTTTTTCTTGCTTAACTCAACATATTTGCAATATGACATTCTAATTTCTAAACTTTCATCAATGAGTTTCGTATTTAAAGTAGATATTTTTCTTTTAATAGTACTAATATTGTAAAGTTTGATAGTATTCTATATAGGCATAGCTTTCACATGCAAAGCAAAAATGTATCTCCATTCACTTCACTTCTACCTAAATAGGGCCCCTAATAAATTTATTCTCAAACGTTACTACACGCAACAGTGTGTTATTTACTTGGAAACTTTATTTGTTTTTTAGTAATTATTAGATTAAAATGCAATTTTCACTATCTTAAGTTTTTCATCATCTTCAAATTGCGTATTTTATTTTCGTCTTATATGTAATGCAAAAAGGTTACTAAAGTGTCTTTTTTCGCAACAAAAATGTCTTTTATGTTTTGCAGAAAAATATCCCAATTTCGACCTTTTATTAGAAAAGTACCGTTTTGTAACCTTTTATGCAAACATGCAGGACGAAAAAAATTAAGATAGTGAAACATTCAGTTTACCCATTAGAGTAAAATTATAATCTTGCAACCCATGTAAGTAAATCAATGGCTTATGAAAATACTCACATGCCAACCGTGTGTGATATATATATATATCAATCTCTAACCATATTATCACTTGTTTGATGCATTAAGTTACGTCTACAATGACAAACGATAAAAAGATAGACCGAGTTTAGTATGAATGAAATTTTGAGTTTATATTAAAATAAAATTTAAAACATTTAATTAAAGTTGATGCGATTTATATACGATAAAAAGATAGACCGAGTTTAGTATGAATGAAATTTTGAGTTTATATTAAAATAAAATTTAAAACATTTAATTAAAGTTGATGCGATTTATGAATAAGAGAGATATGAGAGTATTTAACATTATGTGAGTAAGTGAAAAATGAGATAAAAAGTGAATTAAAATTAATCAGAGCGGTGATAATGATTTTTGTTGTATTATTTATTTATATAGATAATATTGATAAGAGTTCTATTAAATTAAATTTGAATTAGATTTTCAATTAAAAAAATTATTTGATTGTCATAATCATAAAACCCTTAGAAATATTTAGAAATATTATTCATAAATATATACATAACTCTCACATATAGTAGATCCTACCAAAAATAAAAATCAATTAGACCGACCCACTTCATGTGAATGTTAAGTACTACCTCCTTTTTTAAATAAATGTCGTTTTGACTTTTTTGATTCATCCATTTTGCTATGTATATAGACATTAATATGTCTATATACATAGCAAAATAGATGAATCAAAAAAGTCAAAACGACATTTATTTAAAAAAGGAGGGAGTAACATTTATTAATACTCGTAACATTTTTAAAAAATAGGCGAAGTATTTTTTTAATAAATACAAATCGATGTGGGTCCCAGTTAGTCAACTACCAACTATTACATCTTTTACCTCTCACAGTAAATATACTTGCTCCTACTCAAAATAAATGCTCAGAACCCAAAAAGCCACCCACCCACCCACCAGTTTACTATCCTAACCCTCCTAGACTCCCGCCACGCGTCCCTCTCGAGGGGCATTCCCGTAATTTCACATCCCTCACGCGTCCCTCCACTTGTATAATAATCCCCCAAACAACCAAACACAACACACAGCAAAACCGAAAAAATAAAAAATAAAAAAAATACAACATCCGCAGCCGCGAAAATGGCTTCCCAGCAGATCGCCTCCCACCGCGAGAACGCCGAGGTCCACACCGGCGACGCCGTGTGCAAGCAGAAGTCGCTGGAGCTCCTGGAGCGGATGCACCTCCCGCGCGGCCTTCTCCCGCTCGACGACATCCTCGAGGTCGGCTACAACGAGTCCACCGGGTTCGTTTGGCTCAAGCAGAGGAAGAGCAAGACGCACGTGTTCCGATCCATCAGCCGGAGCGTGTGGTACGACACGGAGGTGACGGCGTTCGTCCGGGACCGCCGGATGAAGCAGGTGACCGGAGTGAAGAGCAAGGAGCTCTTGATCTGGGTCACTATTTCCGATATTTCGATTAGGGACCCGGATTCTGGGAAAATTACGTTCGCGATTCCGACGGGGCTCTCCAGATCTTTACCCGTCTCGGCGTTTGAGGATGGGGAGGAAAAGAAATAAAGTGAGAATTGTGGGTGCTGTTTTTTAATTTTTAGCTTTTTCTACTGTACGCGTAAGGTCTACGCTAAGTATAATTGACCCTTTAATTATGGATTAGTAAAGTATGTTTATTTAAGAACATTTTTAATGTTTATTTAAATTTTAATAAATAAGATCAGTTGCAGTGATAGAATTGTAATGTTATACCATAAAACTAGTACTATTAATTTGCTATATGTAAATTGATATAATATTATAAATTATAAATTAAATAATAGAATCATACTTCAAAAGTGTGATCAGCAATTAGTAAGTAAAATGTAATGGATAATTTAGTTTTTTTTTTTTTTATGATTTTGATAGCTTAAAAATATTAAAATTGCATTGTAGTTGTTCATGCAATTTTAAGGGTTTTGGCTACGTCATTAAAACTAATAGTTTATTTTTGTTGATCTCTAAATTAAATGAAGAATGATATTCATTCATCTAATTTATTAGATGAATAATCCTAATAAGGTGATTGAATGATTTCAATTGTTAGCAAAATTACAATGTCTATCAAACTTCCGTAAATCAAAAATTGAGCTCAAAAGGCATTCAGACTAATTTTCCCACACCATTATAAAAACGACATTATTTATTTTTACATTTTAAATAAATGACTTATACTTATTTCAAAATTATATACCTTTTAAATTATAAATAAATTAATGACATAACTGACTATAATAATTTTAAAATTCTATACCATTGTAAATCACACGATGTTAGGACAGCAAGATCGACAACTAATGCTATTTCCACTCGTCTCGTAAACATAGATTTATTATCACCTAATATACTATGTAACAACTATTTTTTAAGATTGAGTTTGAGGGGTAGCTAACATATATAGTGATAAATGTTGGTCTAAGTTGGCATTAAGAAATGACAAAAATGCATTATTAGTTTTGTTGGTTTAACGTCATAGTAATTTTAGTTTCAAAATTCAATTTTTCGCCTTTTGGTCATGTGATTCGATATTTTGCTGCAATCCAAATGACTGAATTGCAAGTAAATTTTAAATTACAGAACTGATATTGAAACTAAATTTTAAATTATAAGACATAAATTGCTAATAAAAAATCTATGAATTTGAGAATTTTGTTATAATTTCATAATGAAACTACAGCAAAACATTAAATCGCGTGACTAAAAAAGCGAAAATGTTGAAACTTTCGGACTAAAATTGCTATGACGTTAAATCAACAAGACTAGAAATGAAATTTTGCCACATTTTGGCCAAAATGTTGCATATTAGACTCTTCATGAAAATGGTATGTGAGCCACATTTTGGCCAATTTTCAGGACAAGTACAACAAACCCTCTTCAAATCCAGACAGAACTTAATGCGTGAAATATAATATATCAAATTATGGGTAAATTTTACAGATTTTCAGTGTTTTGTGTGTGTTCTACGAATATTTGTTGATCAAACATGAAAAAATCGAGTCACTGCATCGAGTCAAAATCTTCCTCTATTAGGAAATGACAATGATTGTGATGAAGATCCAACTTAAATAAATAAATAAAAAAAAAAA